GAGGATGCCAGGAACACAGATAAGCAAAGTCAACACAAGGTAAACTCAAGTTTGCTCCTAGCAGCTGCCACACTCAGCCTGCCTCTCTTTTAAACTCTCTTCCCAGGTGTGGTTAATGAAGGGAATCAGGGCCCTTTCCTCCCCCGTAAGCCATGCAACCCATGTTGCTCTCTTCCCTGTTCCTCCCTGCGTTGCCCTAGGATGAAGAGGGGGTGGTGGGCCTGGGTCTTCCTCTGAACTCCTTCTCCCTTGCTCTACCTCTCCCTTGCTCTACCTCTCCCCTGCTCTGCCCAGCCGGACTTTGCCTTTCCCCAGTTTCCTCCACAGCCAACGGAACCACACTCCCACTCCTTGTCAGCTGTTCATCTTCCTCCTCAGATTCAGACTCCGACAGGGGCATGACAAGCAGTGTGCGGCAGCAGCCCAAAAAGCGAATGCAATCCTTGGTTGTATAAACAGAAGGAGAGAATCAAAATCACATGAAGTATTAGTACTACTTTATAAAGACTTAATTGAGACCACACCTGGAATACTGCATCCAGTTTTGGCCAGCCCATTACAAAAAAGATGCTGAGACTTTGGAAAAAGTACAGAGAAGAGCAACTAGGATGATTGAAGGTCTGGAGACTAAAACAACATAAAATGGTTGCAGGAATTGGGTATGGCCAGTCTAAAGGAAAGAAGGATAATAGAGGACATGATAGCAGGATTCCTGTATTTGAGAGGCTGTCACAAAGAGTGGGACAATTTATTTTCCAAAGCACCAGGACAAGAAACAATGGATGGAAATTAACCAAGGAGAGTAGCAACCTGAAGTTCAGGAGAAACTTCCTAAAAGTAAGGTCAATTCACCAGTGGAACAGCTTGCCTGTAGATATTGTGGGTGCTCCGTCACTGGAGGTTTTTGACTGGACAGCCACCTGTCTGAAATGGTATAAGATTTCCTGCTTGAGCAGGGGCTGGACTAGAAGACCTCCAAGGTTCCTTCTGGCTATATTCTGATTCTGATTCATCAGAATTATTTCATCTGTTATATCAAAGAAAATCATTCCTCTGACTACCACCTTTTGTAATACTTTGAGGAGTAATAAAAGGAACCAAACTATGTACGGTAATTAAGCTATGAAGCGGCATATAAATCTAAGTGCTAAGCGTGCTAAACCCATATTGAATTGTCTCATGGTGAGTTGTCCCGCGGTGAGTTGGCCACAGCGAGTAGGCCATGGTGAGTTGGCTCAGGGCAGGAGGCCACGACAAAGTGGCCGTAGCCCCTTGGCCACTGTGAGTTATCTTGGACCCTGTTATGTCCTGGGAACTCTAGGAGTTCTCACTCAGGTCCATTCACTTTACGGGGGCGTTCTTCCCCTCCACTCATTGGTTGGTTCTCCCCAGCAGCCAGCTATAAAAGCAGGCTGCGGGGTCCAACCAGTTGCTGATCGCTGCGAGCCAGTTCCAGGCTTGGCAAGCACGGTCAGTCCTTTATTGTTATAATAAAGTATCGTTGCACTCATGCTCTGGTTCAGCCTCTCTTTTCCCAAACTTAACAGACCCCAAGTCAGAATTGGGAGAGGAGGAAGAAAAAGATGGAAGCTGGTTCTTAAGAAGAAGAGGAGCTACTACGCTGTGCACCCAGCCTCGAGTCGCTGCATGATGGGCAGGAGATAACACATAAATACTGGAAGTCCTCAACTTACAACAATTAGTGACTGTTACGAAGTTACAATGGCACTGAAATGAGCAACTTACGATTGTTTCTCACACTTACAACAGTTGCAGCATTCCCATGGTCACGTGATGGTGAGAATCGAGGATATAGCTTATTGCTCTGTTAGATTCAATAAGCCCTGTGGAGGATAACAGGCCCCAGAAGAAAGAGACACGAACCAAAGTTTTCAGATAGGATGGTTTCAAAATATACCAGAACTATTTGTAATCCTGCTGAGCCATTGCTAACTGTGAAAACATATTTTTGCAAAGTGTATGGATAAGTTTAAAACAGGAAGAATGAAACTGTTGGAAATGAGAAACTGAAAGTAATGTCACAGGTGTTTAAGGAAAGTGACAGTTAGTGAAGTTGTGAAGCGTGTATGTGCTTAGAAGAAAAGTAAAACGACAGGGTCAGAGATCAGCTCGGGGCCTTTTGATTTATAGCAGTCCTTGCAGGATCTGCCGTATGTCACTGGACCCCATTGCAAAATGGCTTGTTAATGTAAGTGTATTACTGCTATTATATCTTTTATATCGATTCATTTCTTATGTTCCAAATTATTAGAAACAATAAACCTCTGATCTTAAAGTAAGAATTTTTGTTTGTGTTGCTGTCTGATTCCTATTGGTATTTTTTAATGACATGATCCAAATTCAGATGCTCAGCAATTGACTCATATTTATGACGGTTACACTGTTCTGGGGTCGTTCGATCCCCTTTTGTGACCTTCTGACAAGCAAAGTCAAGCCCAGGCTCACTTAACAACCGTGTTACTGACTTCACAGCTAGAGGGATTCACTGAACAACTTGTGGCAAGAAAAGCCATAAAAAGGGGGCAAAACTCACTAAACAAATGCCTCACTTGACAACACAAATTCTGGGCTCACCTGTGGTCGTTAAGTGGAGGAGTACCTGTATTCCACAGAAATGTAGAGTTGGAAGGAACCCAACGATCACATCCAACCTTCTGCAATGTGCAAAACAACCACAGAAAGATCCATCTTCTTATGAAATTAACAGATTAACAGAGTTGGAAGGGACCTTGTAGGTCATCTAGTCCAACCTTTCTGTTCAAACAGGAGGCCCTACACCATTTCTTTCTTTCTTTCTTTTTTTAAAGTCTTTTTATTTTTTAAAGACAAACACTAACAAACACAAACATAAACATCAACATAAAATCATCTTCCAAAATACAGTATGTCGGCTGGTACATTTCTTTGGCGCAATGTCATAATATCAATGGTCTTACCCTTCCATATTACATAAGTCAACTCTACATATTATATTGTATTGTGTTGTATTATTATTATATCATTGTTAGACTCAACTACAACTCCGCATAATTCTTATCGAGCAAATCTCAGTTTTAACAAATCTGAGAACATACAATTCATTATATTCAATTATATAATATTATGTTATCTTGCATATTATACCATTCCTTTTTTTTAACACATTTTACTTCTCTGTTTCCTTATCTAACCATTGATACATCATTTCGCCCTGCACCACTTCTGACAGATGCTCAGTCCAGTTGCTTCTTGAAAGCTTCTGGGGATGAAGCTCCTAAAAACTTCTCAAAAGCCTTCAGAGGTATCCACAACTTTTGCAGGCAGACGCCTCCGCCTGTTGTCCAAGAAATCCTCCCTGTCCCCTCTTAACTCTCAGACTTTGCCTCATCAGTTCCCATTTCCCCCCCCCCCCCCCCCCGGGGAGGGTTTTTTTCCCCCCCCCCCCCCCCCCCCTGGATTGCTTCCTACCCCTGCCATCCATCTCTTTCTCCCTCCTGCTTCCCAGGGACGCTCACGTTTTATTTTCGAAGATATTTTTGAGCCTCGCCGGCTTCTGTGGACCTTGATAGGCTTATGGATGATTTTATCCCTGGTTGGTGCAGCTGGTATGACGATGGAAGGCTCCGGCTTGAAGTCCAGTGGGGTGCCTGGAATAGTTGCAGGCTCCTGCTTTCCATGAGTCAAGATGTCCTGGTCTTGTTTCTCTATCGGGGAAGCCGAGGTTGGCACCATAAGGTAATCCATGGTGCCGTTTGCTCCTTTTCACCTCTCTGGCATGCAGACCCTTCAGCAAATTCCTCCTTTGCTTGGTTGCAAGTGGGGAGGGGGCTCCCACAGAAGAGAAGACACGCCGGGGTTCCATCCAGAAGACCAGGCATTCCTTTGTGATGTCACAATAGGAGACCAAGGAAAAAGTTGCAGCCATCGACTCAAAGGTGGTCTTCCAAAAGGGCAATTGGGTTCTCCCCCTTGCAAACGTTTCGCTTCTCGCCCAAGCTTCTTCAGTTCTAACATCTTTAGTTCTAACTTAAATGAAACATTTGCAAGGAACAGATTAACAGAGTTGGAAAGGACCTTGTCAGTCATCTAGTCCAACCCCACTGCCCAAG